GGCGACAAAGGGCGAGGCCGGGGGGACTGGTCGGCGGCGGCAAGCCGGCCTGACAGGTGGTGGGGTAAGTGGTAGCTAGGTTCCGGTTCCGGCGAGGGGGTAGGGCGAGGGACAGGTCGACAGCGAGGGGGTAGGGCAGGGGACAGGTCGGCGGGCAAAGGGAAGGTGAACGGATCTGGTTCGGCGAGGCAAAGGGAAGATGAACGGATCTGGTTCGGCGAGGCAAAGGGAAGATGAACGGATCTGGTTCGGATGGGGGAGATAGGTCTGGAGAAGGGGTGGGGGTGAGGGTAGGTGTGTACTTACCTGGGTTCCGCCGCCGCCCGCCGCCGTCGGACTACCGTCTAAACCGCCGGCAGGAAGGACGGGTGCTGTCGACGCACCGGCGACTACTCCGAGGAAGAAGAGTAACCGTTAGAGATGGCAGAGCAGAGGAGAGGAGAGAGAAAGAAAGAGATCAATGCACGCACATAATACCATGAAACATATAATACACATGAAACATTATTAAAATGCTAATAAAAACAAATTGTTTTATTTGTTTCGCACAGTAGGGAGAATAATTCTTAGACTACTGATAAAAGTTTGGTCAAAGATTTGAAAAATATGGTAGATGAGCATAATGTTTTAACACAAATATTTAGAAGAACTAAAGACTTCATGGATAATGAGCCTACTTCTAATATATCATTGAGGCTGTTGAAAAATAAGACTTCATATATAATGAGTCTACTTCTAATGTATCATTGAGGTTGTTGGCAAAGAAAACTAGAGACTCAAGAAATTATAATATCTCCCCAATACATGAAATTGGTGCTCTAATAGTTAAAGGTCTTGATTCTTAACACAATTTATTTCTCAAGAATATAGTGAACTTCACTTATTCGAACTTATTGGAGAACATAAAAAACTATTATATTCTTTTTTTAAGATAGTGCACTATTGGCACCTGTGCTCGAGGTTGTTGAATGGTAAATGATTTTTTCTTATCCTTTATTCCATGAGGTGAAAAGTATTACTTAATTTCTTATTCTTCATTCCAACAAGTTTGGAATTAAAAGACATTTTTGAATATATTTTCAATTTCTCAAATATTATTTATTCTACTTTGGTGTTTTTGTCCAATGATAAAAAATCGTGTTAGAAATATATTTATTTGATCCAGAAAATATATTGCATTAAAAAAATCAAAATAGACAAAAATTTCGTCGACTCCGTGCATCGCACGGGTGAAAATGCTATTCTATATATATACGGAGTATAAGACTATGAGGAACTTGCAGGGCGAGATGGCGATATTCATTTTGTCGTCCATGTTTTTGTTATTTCAGCTGCAGTTGTCAGAATCTTATGAAAACCGTCAAGGTCCCTTCTCTTAATTCTCATCTTTAATGCAATATTATTTTTACAATTAATATCAAACCGTATATATGAACATACATATTTTTTTTTGAAAGTATGAACATACATATTATATACTCCGTTCCTCGTATTTTTTTATTATATTATAAATACTTTCAAGACTCTTATTTGTTATTGTCTCCATTTCAAATTAATTTTTTCCAGTTGCTATTACGATCTCTCGATAATATACTTTTGCATGCATATTTTCATTATTAATTTGATAAAATAACATATTCTTATCCTTTTTTTGTGGAACTTTTGATGTATTTTTAAACTTGTGATTTGTAACTTTTTTCTATACTAATTTATAAATAAAGTTATTTTAATAATGAGATCTCATACGTTCTTCCAAATGAGAAGAATAAACTAGAAATATTAGTAGTATTTTTATTCTTGGATTGGTGAGATTTTTTGTGTATTATATGTGGCAGTTGATGCTTTGATAGCATGCATTGAAGAACAGCTTGACGGATCCAATGAGTGTTCTAGAAAGCTGGCAATCAAGCAATGATCCGTTTTCAACCCCGGCTAACCCCTGCGGCGAATTCAGCTGGTTTCATATTACCTGCGTTGGAAATAGTGTTACAAGAATGTAAGCTCGCTGTGTTTGAGAATTTAATTATCTCTATATCTCGACTGTCATCATATCATTATTTTGTGCTAATTAATTAAATTAGTTTTTCTCTATAGAAATTGTCCTAAATAGAATTAAAACATAGAAAAATACTAAAATAGAAGTTCTAAGTTTTTATTCTCGAAATAGAAGTTCGCACAGAAGTGAAAATGTGGTGGTAATGTGGCATTGTACATATACGCATTATTATACTTTTTGGCAATGTACATGACCATGTTTGGTGATGTAAATGCATTTTAACTTCTATTTCAAAAATAAAAACATGGAAATTCTATTTTGGTATTTTTTCAATATTTTACTCGTACTTTAGTCTTTTTTTCTTCTGTGCAGCATACACGTTTTTAAGTTTACTGTTCCCTCCGTTCTAAAACCATTACCACACTTTTATTTTTTTTGGTCAAATTATCTTTGACCACAAATTATATAAAAATTATATGTTTACTTATTATTGTGAATTTAATAAATTAAATTAATTTTAAAATATAATTTTAATATTTAAATTTTTATAATATTTAATTATTTAAAACTAAATATTTAACTTTTGGTTAAAATATTACTCCCTCCGTCCTATAATGATCTTCCCGGTTCGCAAAACGAAAAAAAATCCCAAGTTTTTTTCAATCTATTTTATTTAAATATTGGTATAGAAATAAAAAATAAAACATACATATTTAAAAACTACACCAAAAGTTCAACAAAACAAGTGGTGACAAGAATATTTTATTTTATAATATAGGCCATGAAAAAACACAAATAAATATAAATTCCCGTGAAGTTGGAATAGTGCTCTAGAAAGATCATTATAAGACGGAGGGAGTAAAAAATTTGATGAAAAAAAATATAAAATTGTAGTAATTTTTTAGCACGGAGGAAATACTTAAAATTATGCTCGTATTATTGACTTTCAGTGATCTCGGAAATTGTAATCTATCGGGTCAACTGCCTGCTGAACTTCAATACCTTCCAAATTTACAGTACTTGTAAGTTATACTTCCTCCGTCCTAGAAAGAATGTCACGTTTACTATTCTGGCCTCTCGATAACTTTTATTTGTTTACTCGTTTTGGTTGACCATTTGATAAAATAAAATATTCTTGTGGCATCTTGTTTTGTAGAACTTTTCATATACTTTTGAATGATATAATTTTTACTTTTTATTACTCTACCAATTTGAAATTAAAGTGATTTTAAAAGAGATGATATTTTGCACGTCGTTCGAAGTGTTGCAAATAAATTGGGACGGAGGGAGTACTTTTTGTATGCGAATTTTAATAGAGTACCATCCACTTGTATAGTTGTATGATTATTGTTGAAACAATAGACTTGGCCATTTCAACCCAAAAAATTAACTCAAGAGGTTGAGGTACCCAAGCTATTAAATAGTAGCACAATATAAGGCTACATTGCTGATGTGGGATGAACAAGTCAACACGCCTCCCCTCACACGAGGCGCAGATTACTGCGGACACGGTCCCAACATCAATGGCTTAGCTCTGATACTATGTTGAAACAATAGACTTGGGCACAATTCAACCTCAAAAGTTAATTCAAGAGAATGAGGTACCCAAGCTATTAAATAGCAGCACAATATAAGGCTACATTGCCGATGGGGATGAACAAGTCAACAATTATTGATTTCTCGGTAATAATCACACCAAATTCTTAATTAGTTACTCCAAGCTCTATACTCAGATCATTTTATAAATCTTAGTATATAAGTATTATAAAAGAAATAATGACTTTTTTCAAAACAGAAAAGACCCACCAAAAAATATGAAAAGATTTATATTTTATATGTAAAACTTAGAATTCAAGAAGCATAAATCATGAATCACAAAATAGTAAAAATGGAGTAACCTCTATATTTTTTATCTCCAAAATAGAAGTTAAAATGTCAATAATATCAATATATAGCATTGATAGGCGTGTCGTAGCACCTAAAAAATTAATTAATTATTTTCCTGTACTCAATTCCTTCTTGTAAAAATAATATTTATTAAATCTATAGATAGGATAAGTAAGGGTCGATCCCACGAGGAAAGATACTTTTCCGGTTATGAAAATCGGTTTACTTTGTCACTTTTTATTGAATAAAAACAACTATCTAAAATCTATAAACTAACTTAAAAGATAGGGAGGGTTTGAAAAAGTGTTTTCTAAATAAAGTAAAAAAACTAACTAAAGTGACACACCACACCAGAACAAATCTCAAAACAACCAAGGGTAAAAACAGAACATAACTCCACCAAGAAGCCCAAACAAA